AGGAACGACACAGGACCCTGCGCTGTTCTTTCGTCTGCTCGGCCCTCCCCGGGTTTGCTGCTGGTTCTTCCCGGGTTGGCTACTATCCCTTCCACCTCCGTGGAAGGGCAGTTCCCCCTGCCACATTCCCCACTTCCGCGGGGGAGCGGCACACCGCCGGCCGGTTCTCTCGGGGGCTGCACAGGTGTTCCTTCAGATAGATGTTCCCTCAGATGTTCCTGGTGCATGCCGTCTCTCTCCTCCTTTATAGTCCTCCTCCGCCAATCCCAACTCGGCTGCCCACACGCCGAGTACGCTGCTCTCCTCCAATCAGGAGCAAGTCCTACAGTTTATTGGCTGAACTGGAGGCAGCTGTGTAGAAGCCTCTTTCTTCTCTCCCAGCACCATATTGTGGGAGAGCAGATGCTTAGAATACGTCTTAATTCCAGTAACAGTATAGTCCGAGTTGCTCCCCACAGATCCCCCTTTCTTTTTATTTTTTGGCGTTGATACGCGCCTGTCTTCGGTGTCCCGCGGCACACACTCTGCTCTACTTGCTAGAGTTGCCGCAGGTTCTTACAAGTCCTATCAATCAGGCAAACCGAATCCGGGTCCTCTCTTTGCCATGTTGTGAGGAGGTTTTTAGGCGCTGATGCGTGCCTGTGTTCGGTGACCTGTGGCTCATACTCTGGTCGAGCCGCCTGCTGGTGCTTACCGCCTTACTAATCAGGCAGACCGAATCCAAGCTCTCTCATTGCCATGTTGTGGGGAGGGTTATTGGTGTTGATTCGTGCCTATCTTCGGTGACCTGCAGCTCATACTCTGGTCGAGCTGCCCGCTGGTGCTTACCGCCTTACTAATCAGGCAGACCGAATCCAAGCTCTCTCATTGCTGTGTTGTGGGGAGGCCTTATTGATGTTAATTCGTGCCTGTCTTCGGTGACCTGCGGCGCATAAGCTGCTAGCCGCCCGCAGGTGCTCATCGCCTCACTAATCAGGCAGACCGAATCCAAGCTCTCTCATTGCTGTGTTGTGGGGAGGCCTTTCCCTATTTCTCTATCTCCGGGCATTCCTATTTCTCCTATATTACTTCTATCTACCAGCATTCCTATTTCTCTCATTTTACTTCTAAACTTCTGTTTCTCTTATCCCTGCGGCTTCCCGGCACCCGCCCCAAGGCTGCTTCTCGGCGGCTTTCCGGCTCTGAGCCGCTTCAGCCCGCGCCTCTCTCATCTGCGCGGCTTCGCACTAGCCCAGCGTTCCCTATCTACTTGAGCCCCGCACGCTCTGTCTGCGCGCGGCAGCCTCCGCGAGTCACACAGCGTAGCTTACGTCTCCGCCACTAGCATTCAATCTAAGTTCCCCGGGCTAACCTCGCGAAATCAACCCAGCTCACGTCTCCGCCCCACGATTTGGCTTCCCGTCCTTTGCTCCCTGGGCTAATCAGACGGATCCCAATCTGGCTTACGTTTCAGCTTCTGGTTTCAACTTTTCGCCCCCTATTCCCGGGCTAACTTGAGAACCCCAAAGTGGCTTTCGTCTCCGCCTTGGCCTGCCCCCCGTGGCTTCAATTTCCCTAACATTTTTCTCTACCCGGTATATTTCCCCAAGCTTTCCTCCAACAACACTCCTCCCTCATTTCTCCTGGCCTCTCCCCACAGTCCGCATCCGAGTCTGTTTGTTCTAGCTTTCACTTTCGCTTTCGACCTTAGAGATTTCTCCCAGCTTCCCCCTGTAGTCCGTATCCGAGTCTATGCCTAGGCTTTCAATAGCTTCTTCCGGCACCCTTTTCGTCCGGCTTTTCCCTAGGCTGTTTGCTAGTCTCTCTCTCCGGTATTTTCCCACTTCTTCCCGTTTCTTCTCTCCTAGGTTTTCTATCTGTCCTAAGTTTCCTATCCGAGTCACGGCACCATTATGTCGCTCCCCCTCTTCCTGGAGGAACGACACAAGACCCTGCGCTGTTCTTTCGTCTGCTCGGCCCTTCCTGGGTTTGCTGCTGGTTCTTTCCGGGTTGGCTACTGTCCCTTCCACCTCCGTGGAAGGGCGGTTCCCCCTGCCACATTCCCCACTTCCGCAGGGGAGCGGCACACCGCCGGCCGGCTCTCTCGGGGGCTGCACAGGTGTTCCCCTTAGATGTTCCCCTTAGATGTTCCTGGTGCATGCCGTCTCTCTCCTCCTTTATAGTCCTCCTCTGCCAATCCCAACTCGGCTGCCCACACGCCGAGTACGCTGCTCTCCAATCAGGAGCAAGTCCTACAGTTTATTGGCTGAACTGGAGGCAGCTGTGTAGAAGCCTCTTTCTTCTCTCCCAGCGCCATATTGTGGGAGAGCAGATGCATAGAATAAGTCTTAATTCCAGTAACAGTATAGTCCGAGTTGCTCCCCACAGTCGCTGCACACCTCTCCAGGCTGGGTTGAAGAACAGCTGGAAGCATTCCCCTTCCGGTCTGGGAGGAGTCATGGCTGCTAAATCCAGCAACTTCAGAGTCTCCTGAGAAGATAAAGCACCTCTGTGGCTGTGAACAGATTCCCAATGGAGACACTACTGCAACTGGAAAGCCAGGGCACTTGGACAGAGCTGGGTTGGGGGTCGCTTGTAGGGCATAGCAGAGGAAGAGGCAAGCCTGTGAGCAGAGAGGTGGGGAGAGCCTGGGGAACACAGGAAGATGCCACAGTGCTCCAGGGGGCAGCAGAGGAGCAGGTGCAGTCCGGAGTAGGTCCCAGAATGCCCCAGGGGAAGGGGACATTGAAACTCTGCCTCCACCATCACAGCCTCTGTGGTTTCCACAGGGGAATTCCAAGGCCTTGCTGTGATGGGCTTGTGGGCTGGAAAGAAGACTGGATTAAGTAACCCATTAAGCCATTGGCATTCTTTGAGAGCCTGTTTCCTCTTATGTCAGGTGCAGAGTAACTCTAATGACGCATGCTAGGCAGCAGCGTGGGACTCAGCTGAGTGTCGCTCCCTCTCCTTTATCCATGGAGGGAGAAAGTTTGTTGCTAAGGGTGTCATCTGAATGTGAAGGAATATAAAGCACGGTTGAAGAGGAGAGGCTCTATTGTTATTGAGACGTCAGTGGTGAGAGGAAGGGAAGAGGTGACCAGGAGCATGCAGCACGGTGGTGGCACCATTGGGCAGGGGAAGGTGTTGGGGGATTGCATGTTGGAGTCATCATTTTAGGATGAGGCAAATCGGATCAAGCTTTTAGACTGAGTAGATGGGACAAGCGTTTGGTACAGCAGTTAAAGTAGCTACTTGAGATGTCTGCATCCCATATCTGTATCCATATCTGCTTCTGATCCAGTTTCTGGCTAATGCCCATTTTTGGAGGCCACAGGTGATGGCTCAAGTAGTTGGATCCCTGTCACCCACCTGGAGACCCAGATGGAGTTCCAGGTTCCTGGCTTTGGCCCAGCCTAGCCCTGCCTGTTGTACCTGTTTGGGGAGTGAACCAGCAGATGGAAGATCGCTCTTTCTGTCTCTCTCTCTGTCTCCCTGTCTTTCCAAGGAACATAAATAAAAATAATATTGTAGGCCAGCGCCGCGGCTCACTAGGCTAATTCTCCACCTAGCGGTGCTGGCACACTGGGTTCTAGTCCCGGTCGGGGTGCCGGATTCTTTCCCGGTTGCCCCTCTTCCAGGCCAGCTCTCTGCTGTGGCCAGGGAGTACAGTGGGGGATGGCTCAAGTACTTGGGCCCTGAACCCCATGGGAGACCAGGAGAAGCACCTGGCTCCTGCCTTCAAATCAGCGCAGTGTTCCGGCCACAGCCCGCCACCCATGGCGGCCATTGGAGGGTGAACTAACGGCAAAAGGAAGACCTTTTTCTCTCTGTCTGTCTCTCTCACTATCTACTCTGCCTGTCAAAAAATAAATAAATAAATAAATAAATAATAAATATTGAGAGGAGCCAGGGGAGCTGCTGAACAAGGCTGAGTCTCTAAGGGAGACTGAAGAAAATGAAAATAAAGTTGAGATCCAGATGGAGACAGGCAGCAGGGAGGATGGAGCCACTTGTAGTGAGAACACTTATGAGGCCTCCGTTTGGGGAAGGACTCAAGCCATCGGCGGGTATTGAGTCTTCTTGAAGTCAGCTCTTCTGAGTTGCTAATGTCTGCTTCTGGGTATGAGAAAGGGCCTGAGGACACCACAATTCACTTTGAGTGTGTGTGGATGGGATAAATGAGGGTATTGGGCCAAGCCTTTTTCCTTAGGGACATCACCAAGAAGAAGCACTTCTCTGCCCACATCACAGACAAGGTTATCTCCTGGTGTGCCCTGACCAGTAGAAGGGTGATCCTTCCTCTTGGCACCCAGCAGGGCTCTGAGACCTCCACTGAAAGGCTCATGATGACTTGACATTTTCCCAGGAAGCCAAACCCAGGCCCTGCTTCAACTTGGGCCAACATAGAGTTTGGGTGTCAGAGTGGGGTGCACAGTGCTAAGAGTAAGGAAATGGGGTTCTTGGCCTGCTGATGGCCTGGGAAAGCAGTGGAAGGTGGCCCAAGTCCCCTGCACCCACGTGGGAGACCCAGAAGGACCTCCTGGCTCCTGGCTTCAGCCTGGCCCAGCTCCGGCTTTGCGGCCATGTGGGGAGTGAACCAGTGGATGGAAGACCTCTCTCTCTGTCTCTCTAACTCTGCCTCTTGAGTACATATGTAATTTTAAAAATATATATGGCGAGAGGTGAGCTAGAACTGGATATTTCCTTTACCCCAGGTGAGTTAGGCTTTGAGGGGGAAAAACAACCCACAATAGCTTGGGCTTGCAAAGTACAAAATGCTCTGTGGGGTTTGAAACGGTTACTTTCCCCCTCCCACTGCCAGAACCATTTGGGGAGTTTTCTCCAAGACTCACTTGGAGAACGCGGCAGTGAGAGGGTGTCACTAGTCAGGGTTAGGGGCCTGGAACTCTTCCTCTCCTGCAGTGGAGGGCTATGTCTTTAACTGTCAGTGTGATGACACCTGCCTTCGCAGAATGCACCTGTCACATCCGGGTCATGGATGTGTGCTTGCACCCTAACAGGTTTGTGGAGCCCCTTGGAGGGCGCACCAGCCGGAAGGAGCTGCACCTCCAGCGCGGATGAAGGCTGCTGTTTTCTCTCTTTCTCTGCGGAGCGCTGCACGCGCAGAGCCAGGGACTGCTTGTGCGTGCTTTTCCCCGTGCAGAGCCGTCCACCTTGGCGCTTTCCCGCTCTCTTTATCTCCGTCGCGTGCACGGACCACCTCAACCGTAGGTACCATTTTCGTTTCTTTCTCTTGTCCACAGGCAGTTCTTTGGCCCGCTCTTGTTGAGCATTTCTCTGTGTGGGGCAGCCCAGGCTCGGGCCTGAATATGTGTTTGTTTCCTGGGTGCTACATAACCTTTTTGCACGTGGGACCAGTCTGCATTTTGTATTTCTGTCTCAAACGGATCCTGCAACAAAATTAATATATTCTGGGTTCTGCTTTGAGCCTTGGCTGCTCCACTTCCTATCCAGCTCCCTGCTAGTGCCCCTGGGAAAGCAGCGGAGGCTGGCCCCGGTACCTGGACCGCTGCACCCACATGGGACCCCAGGATGGAGTTCAAGGCTCCTGGCTTTGCCCTTGGCCCTGGCCAGGACATTCTGGCCATCTGAGGAGTGAATCAGCAGGAGGAAGACCTTTCTCTGTCTCTCCCTCCCTAACCATGACTTTCAAATAAGTAAATAAATAAATCTTCAAAATCATTAATGTGTTCATGGCCCACATCTGTAGAACTCTGGGAAGTAAGCTCATGAAGAGTGAGGAGACTTTCCCTGTCCCGCTCCTCTCCAGAGCCCCTAATGGGGTTGGGATTCTCTGCCCCTGCTGCTTTGTCTAGAATTTTGTTCGGTGTGTTCTACCCTGTGAGCTCCTTTCTCCGACCAGGCTAGGAAGAGTTTTTCTGTTTTTTTGAGTTTGTCCAATGTTTTTACTTGTTATGAGTATGAACTGATGACTTACAAACTCCTTAATGTGGTGGACTAGATACCAGCGAGGTTATTTTATTTTCATGCCTGGTAATATCTTGTTGAAAGTTGGACATTGTAGTAAAAAACCATGAAGGCTCAGAATGATAATCTCATTGCCCAGAGATAATTCACTCTATCATAGACCAGGCGAATAGCATGAGGGTCATAACTCAATCTTTCGGGGTGGCCCTGGCTGGAGTCTGCATTTCCTTTCTTAGAAGAGTCTGGCTTCGTCTCCACCCCTAGGCTGTGGACCTCCAGGGATCCCAAGTGAAAATCAGCGACGTTTACCAACGCCTCCTGATGGCTGAATCTCAGAACCGTAAGTTGGCCTCTTACTAAAATGACCAAAACCTGCACTCCTCTTTCCCATTCTTTCTTCCCCTCTACCTCTTAGTCTTTTTAACCTAATGTTGTAGTAGGAAAACTGGCATCTGGTCTGCTTGTGTTTTACTGTGACTTGCTGTTCTCTGGGATTTTGGTCCCTCAAGGTCCAGATGCTGGAAACTGGCAGTTAGCCTAGTGGCTCAGATGCCCACATCCCACGTCACGGTATCTAGTTTTGATTGCTGGCTCTGGCTCCTGGATTCAACTTCCTATCAAGACAGACCCAGGGAGGCAGTGATAATGGCTCAAATAATTGCTTTTTTGTCAGCTCTCAAGGGAGACTTGGATGGGGATACTGGTTCCCAGCTTCATCCTTGGCTGCTGTGGACCTTTGGCGAGTAAACCAATGGATGGGAGTTCTCCCAGCTCCCTGAAATAAGTAAACATCACCATTGAAAAGATCTGGATGTTTTCATTGGCCCAAACTCCACCTTTTGTTCCCCTGGTTCTGATATGTGGAAAGCTCTGCCTGGGTAATGCTCTTCCCTTGGCTTCTGGTCCATTCTCTGGCTGGCTTCTCAGCCCCTTGCTTCAGACCAAAATGGCTACTGCCAGCGGGAAGCACCTCACACCATTCTACACACGACTGTGGCCCTCAACCTCTGGATCTTTCAGTAGCTCCCAAATAACTTGCAACCAGCTGCTTATGTTTTATGCGGCGTTATCAGTTGTTGTTCTTGGAAGTTTTGGTCTTAGTAGAAAGGGAAGACCTGGGGCAACTTACTTATGAGAAGTAAAGTTGCAGACAGGTGCTCCTAGCAACTGTGAGATAAACAGAAGTGGTATAAAGAGCCCAGAGGGCAGTGTTGGCCATCCAAGTAATGAGATGACCCCTGGCTATAATTGAGGTTGTGTTTCTCTGTCCATCAGAATTGTTGGCATTCTCTTGTGTGTGGAGATGACACTACTGCCTCCTTTACCCAGAGTCATCCCTGGGAGAGAAAAGGGGGCAGCTTGCTAACAGATCATGGTCAGGTGGCCTCTTGGGCATGGGCTAGTAAGGAATTCTTAGGAGAGGGCCAAGGCAGGGCTTAACCTGTGGCCCAGGGTAGCTCCAGTGTCAGAGCTGGAACCTGCTCCTAACAACTTCTAAGAGCCTATGGTGTGTATATGTGTGGTCACTTTAGTACATTGTACGGGCCACGTACACCATGGAGATCCACAGGCACTATAAACCAGGGCTTTGTTCTATGCAGATGCTGGTTGTAAAACTTGAATCAGGGAACGGCCACCCAGGAGGGATGTGTGGCAGTAGGGGTGGGGCCAGATTCAAGCCCTTTGGGTCAGTAGATACTGGGTGCTGACCTAATAATGGTTGGCTCTGTGTTCATTTGTGTGCGTGCGTGCGTGCGTGCGTGTGTGTTATCATTTAGTTCTCACTACACCATGAAATCAGATAGTAGAGACTAGGAGATTTTCTGTTCCCTGCTTAAGTCCACATTGCAACTCGGGTCGCTGTGACCCCCTTCATCTTCATCCTTAACCACAGAACCTGCAACAGTGCAGGGTGGGAGGACTGAGCCCAGGCTAGTTTCCGGTCGCTGAGGGCAGACAGTGCAGTGTGGCAGAGTCCAAGGACCCTTGTGGCCCTGAGCACACTCTTGGTTCATATAAGAAATGCAAACAGGATTTTGAGCCCAAGCAGCATGGAGAGAACAGGGAGAGATTTGAGAAAAATTGTCCTTGGTTGCTCATTGTTCTTATACCTTGTTGTTATGGCCCTGTCCTGAACAAACCCCACGACCTGTTTTCTCTGTTTCTATACCCAGACAGCACAATACAGGTGATGAAAGCTTGCACAATAGAGCAGATAGCTGCATTCTAAATTCCTGATCACCAATCTCCAAGACAGCAGGGGTCCTACCAGAACTTGTGGGCTGACTTTTCCTTTACTGTCCCTAGAAAGTTTTCACACTTTTAATGTGCGGAAGCATGCCTCTTCTCCCTCACTCAGTAATTCTAAAGTCGAACTTTCCTGTTTATTTTGCAGTATCTATAAATTCACGTAATGGGGTGAGACACAGTACAGAGAGGGTCCCTGGACCCTGTATCCAGTCTCCTGCAGAACCAGCCTCTTGCAGAGTTACAGTACAGTTCCAAAGCCAGGAGACCACAATGGGCACAGCCAAGGGAGAGAATGTTTTGGACCTCACAAGACTTCACGTCACCCTCGTAGAGCCACACCCATTCCCTCTGACAGGCTGCAGTCTGTCCCACAGCTCCATGACTGAATCACATCCTGAATGTCATTTGTGTGCAGTCACACAGAGTAGGTGCCCCGGGGACTGGGTTTTATCAGTCAGCATGGTTCTCTGGAGATTCCTATAGGTCACTGTGTGTACCCATAGTTCCTATAGATCAGTGTGCATGTCCATAGTTCCTGCAGGTCACTGTGCATAACCATAGTACCTATAGGTCACTGTACATACCCATAGTCCCTGTATGTCACCGTGCATATCCATAGTTCCTATTGATCAGTGTGCGTACCCATACTTCCTATAGGTCACTGTGCGTACCCATAGTTCCTGTAGGTCACTGTGCGTATCCATAGTCCCTGTAGGTCACCGTGCATACCCATAGTTCCTGTAGGTCACCATGCGTATCCATAGTCCCTGTAGGATACTGTGCATACCCTTAGCTCCTATAGGTCACTGTGCGTACCCATAGTTCCATCCTTTGTATTAACCTCTGTGGGATGGATGGTCTGGCATTACCCACTAAGGTCTATCAGGGTTGATTCCAGTTCTTGCCTATTAAAAATTAAGCTGCTATAGACATGAAGTATTTTACATGAATATAGGAATTAATTTTTCAGGGATAAAAACCTCTGGCATTTGAATTTAATTTATTATGAATTTAGTGTTGAGAGACTACCAAGCTGCTTGCCTATGTAGCTGTACCATTTCATAGTCTCATTAGCAAGGTAGGGTTGATCCAGTTTCTCCACATCCTTGCTAGCATTGCATATTTTAAGTGATTTTTATTTGAGCCAATTTGATAGGTATATACTGATGTCCCAGGGTGGTTTGTACTTGCATTTCCCTCATGAGTAATGACATGGAACATCTTTTCATGGGCATATATGCTGACTGCATACTTCTAAGGTGGAATGTGTGTTTTCTAACTGGATTGCTATTTTACTGTTCAGCTGTGAGAGTCTTTTACATTTTCTAGATACTAGTCTTTTGTCATCCGTGGTGTTTGTAAATACATGTCTTAAAGTATTTACCTCATTCTTTTTTTAAATTTTTTTAAACTTATTTGACGGGTAGAGTTTTAGACAGTGAGTGAGAAAGACAGAGAGAAAGATCCTCCTTCCGCTGGTTCACTCCCCAAATGGCCACTACGGCCGGTGCTGTGCCGATCCGAAGCCAGGAGCCAGGTGCTTCCTCCTGGTCTCCCATGCGGGTGCAGGGCCCAAGCACTTAGGCCATCCTTCACTGCACTCCCGGGCCACAGCAGAGAGCTGGACTGGAAGAGGAGCAACTGGGACAGAACCTGGCACCCATATATAGGATGCCGGCACTGCAGGCAGAGGATTAACCAAGTGAGCCACAGTGCTGGCCCCTACCTCATTCTTTACTGCTTTATAGTTTTCTGGACATTTTTTCATTTTATATTTAAGTTTGTGATTCATTTTGAGCTCCATTTTAAACAATCTGTGAGACTTAGGTTGAGTTTAATTGTTTTCCTCTGGGTAGCCTGTTGCTCCAGGACTATTTGTTAAAAATCTTACCTTTATCGCTTCTTGGCCTTTTCACTGAGATCAAGTGTAAAAAGTCTACCTTTCTGCTGTCTACTTGCTCTTCACTTTTGTCAAAATAAGTTGAACATCTTTGCTTTATTTCTTAGTTCCCTATTCTCTTCTCATCGTCTATCCATGTACCCATCTACATACACCACACAGTTTTCTTACTTTAGCTATTTCTTGAAACCAGATTTATTTATTTAAGTATTTATTTTGAAAGATTTATTTGAGAGGCAGAGTTGCAGACAGAGAGGTCCTCCATCTGCTGGTTCACTCCCCAAATGGCCTCAATGGGTGGAGCTGGGCTGATCAGAAGGCAGAAGCCAGGAGCTTCCTCTGGGTCTCCCATGTGGGTGTAGGGACCCAAACACCTGGGATATCTTCTACTGCTTTCCTAGGTCATCAGCAGGGAGCTGGGTCAGAAGTGGAGCAGCTGAGACACGAACTGGTGCCCATATGGGATGCGGGCACTGCATCCTGAGCCAGGCTGCATTAGGAAGCTGGACTGGAGGTGCAGGTGGCAGAACGCAAGCCTGCCCTCTTATATGGGGTGGCTGCGTCCCTAGCAGCGCCTTAACCCACTGTGCGACAAACGTGCCCTGGATTATGAAATCCTCTGTGTGGTTGACCTCTCTGCTCTGGTAGGAAAAGGTGTAGATGCTGCCTGGTTACTGCTGCATAAGGGGTAGAGATCCGTATTTCCCTGCTCAGCCTCCATTGAGATCCAAAACTGGTGAATTCTTTGTTACTTCTGCTTGGACATGGAAGTTCCAGTTCCTCTCTGGGTCCTAACGGACACCACGATGTGGGGCAGGGTTGGGGGTTGCTCATTACCCCTGATGGGTAGTCATAAAAGTCTGGTTTCCCACCACGATGCCTCTGACGCTGCCCTGGCAGTTATGGATGGAGAGGGCTGATTTTCACCCTTCCCTTCTCTGTGAGCGCCCTCGTTGGAGACAAGCCTCACTCGAGTGCCACAAAGGTGGACGTCTAAGCTTGCCTCTTGGTTTTTGTTGGTGCAGGTGAGGGTGGGCCATGGTCCTTTCTCTGTCATTTTTTGTTGTAGTGAAACAGTTATTACCCAGTTTTCTGTCTTGCAAAACTGCATGTTTCCTAGTACTTTGGAGACAGAGAATAGGACTGTGCTGGAGGGGCTGCTCTGTGCCCCTTGGTGTTGCCCAGTTGTG